CTTCTTCCTGTTTCTTCCCTCCTAGGTGTGCGCGAGTAGAGCGAGTCACGGCACCATTATGTCGCTCCCCCTCTTCATGGAGGAACGACACAAAACCCTGCCTAGGCTTCATATCCGAGTCACGGCACCATTATGTTGCTCCCCGTCTTCGTGGGGGAACGACACAAGACCCTGCGCTGTTCTTTCGTCTGCTCGGCCCTCCCCGGGTTTGCTGCTGGTTCTTCCCGGGTTGGCTACTATCCCTTCCACCTCCGTGGAAGGGCGGTTCCCCCTGGCCACATTCCCCACTTCCGCAGGGGAGCGGCACACCGCCGGCCGGCTCTTCTCGGGGGCTGCACAGGTGTTCCCCTTAGATGTTCCCCATAGATGTTCCTGGTGCATGCCGTCTCTCTCCTCCTTTATAGTCCTCCTCCGCCAATCCCAACTCGGCTGCCCACACGCCGAGTACGCTGCTCTCCTCCAATCAGGAGCAGGTCCTGCTGTTTATTGGTTGAACTGGAGGCAGCTGGGTAGAGGCTGTTTTCTCCTCTCCCAGCGCCATATTGTGGGAGAGCAGATGCATAGAATAAGTCTTAATTCCAGTAACTTAGTCTAGTCCGGGTTGCTCCCCACAGTTTTGTTTGTTTGTTTGTTTGTTTTTGTCTGAATTTAAGATTTCCTGATTTATCTTTTAGTTCGGATATTCTTTTTTCTTCCTCACCAAGGCCGCTGTTAAGGCTATCCACTGCATTTTTTATTTGATTTTTTGAAGCCTTCATTTCTAACATTTCCTTTTGATTTCTCTTTGAAATATCAATTTCATGGGAAAAACTTTCATTCATATCCTGTATGGGTTTTTTTAGTTTGTGGATTTGCTTCTGATTGCTTTTGAGTAATCATATGGTTAATTTTTTGAATTTCATTTCCAACCTTTCCTCAGTCTCTCCACTCTAATATTGAAATGTTGTGTTCATTGAGGGGGTGGGGGGCCATGTTGTCTTCCTTATTGTTTCTTGAATTTCTGAATTTGTTTTTAGGCATTGGTGGAGTTGATTGTTTTTACTCTGAAAGCTTTTATCTTTGAGCTATGCTTCTGTGGCTTAGTGGAATGTCTGTGCATTGAATACCAAGAGATGTGTGGTGGGTGTGGCCAGGGAGCTCTGGTCAGTGCTGGGGGGGTGGGTGTCAGTATCCAGGGTAACATACAAGTTGGACATGGTAGATCTCAATACCTAGCTACACCCTGCACCTTCTCATTTAACCACCGAGTTCCCGGGGTCTCAGCACACAAGGATTCCACAGTCGCCAGTTCCAGAGGTTTCCCTTCACCCTGCCAGCCTGATGTTCCCTGAAACAGCTCCACCTAGGTGTCTTGACCTGGGCGGCTTCAGGTGCCCCTCTGTCCCACCTGGCTGCCCTGCCAGGCTCAAAGTCAGTGGGAACTGTGGACCTTTCCCTCTGCTAGAATCTCTGGATCACATGTTCACATAAGAGCCACTGGCCAAATGTTGCTGCCTGCCCGCCATTGCCACCAGTTCTGCCAATTAGGCATCTCATCCCAACTGCTATGCATGCACACAGAGGCTGCTAACATCAGCTTGGCCCACTATTAATACTTTTGAAGATCCTGATCTAAAAGAGGGTCAGGTAAATACTAGAAGGTAGATTTAAGAAACTAAAATGGATTTCCCTATCCCAGCTGAAATGTTCCAAGTCCTAGAAAGCAACTCTTTGTTGTTGTAAGTGACCTGAGATGATCTGGTTTGCACATCTAGAGATGGCAGATTAATGGATTGGACCTGAATGTTTAATACATACACTTGCTTTATGAACAGAAATTTATTGAACAGTGCTCTTGTGTTAGAATTTTCATTAAACAGAACATCAGTTTATTTCCTCACTGACTATAAAATGTCTTGCTTTTACTCTAGGGACACCACAGTACAAACTCTTACTCTTCAGCCTTCTGTTAAAGATGGACTTATTGTGTATGAAGACTCACCTTTGGTTAGTAATCCAGTAATATGAATATTTTCAAGTGTATTTTTTGAATGATAGTCGTATTTCAGCTTTTGTGGGGTAGGGTAGGAGACAGAATCTCCTCTAAATTTGAATATATTTTAGTCTAACAAATGCGTATCATTTTAGGGGTGAAGATTTAAATGCAAATTATTGAGAAAATCACATATTTTCTTATTCTGCTCTCTTTTCAGAGTGAGAAATTTAGGGAATGACAGAAATCCTCTATTGATCTTTTTTCTGTTCTAGAATTTTTTTCCTTATTTCCAAATGTGTAGAGTTTGAAATTAAGTAATACTTGTAGAAAACAGTTTTATTTGTATTTATTTATTTGAAAGGTAAAGAGATATTGAAAGAGAGAAAAAGACAGGCAGAGAGTTCGCAATTCTAGCTCACTCCCCAAATGCCTGCAATTGCCAATGCTAGGCCAGGTTTCCCACGTCAGTGGGAGCATCACCTGCTACAAGAAAAGCTGGCAATAGAAGCAGAACCGGGGAGAGGGAGAATTGGCACTGTGACATAGCTGGTAAAGCCTCTGCCTCCGACCAGCATCCCATATGGGTACTGGTTCGAGTCCCGGCTGTCCCCACTTCCAATCCAGCTCTCTACTATGGCCTTGGAAAGCAGTAGAAGATGGCTCAATTCCTTGGGCTCCTGCACCCATATGGGAGACCTGGAAGAAGCTCCTGGCTCCTGGCTTTGTATTGGCCCAGCTGCGGCCATTTGGGGAGTGAACCAGTGGTTGGAAGATCTTTCTCTCTGTCTGTTCCTCTCTCTCTCTCTCTCTCTCTCTCTCTCTCTCTCTCTCTCTCTCTCACTAAGTCAACCTCTCAAATAAATAAATGAAATCTTTAAAAAAAATAGAAAGAAATAAAAGAAGAATAAGAAGAAGAGCTGAGCTTGACCCCAGACACTCTGAAATGGGATCCACGTCTCCCAAGTGTTATCTTAACTGTCATACTAAACACTGGTCCCCAAACTACTTTTAAACCAAATTATTATACTAATTCTCTTTTTGTCCACTCTGCATATTACTGCCCCATTAAATATCTTAAATGGTAACTCCGGGCTTCATTACTATCATGTCTGAACTCAAAATTATGAAATTACCTAAGCAGAGAAGGTACATGGGAGGATACTTCAAAAGATTTGTGGAAAATTGAATTAAAAAAATAATTTTGAGCCCGTCACCGCAGCTCAATAGTCTCATCCTCTGCCTGCGGTGCTGGCACACCTGGTTCTAGTCCTGGTCGGGGCGCCAGATTCTGTCCCTGTTGCTCCTCTTCCAGTCCAGCTCTCTGTTATGGCCTGGGAGTGCAGTGGAGGCTGGCCCAAGTGCTTGGGCCATGCACCTGCATGGGAGACCAGGAGAAGCACCTGGCTCCTGGCTTTGGATCAGCACAATGCGCCGGCCGCAGCGCACTGGCCGCAGCAGCCGTTGGGGGCTGAACCAATGGAAAAGGAAGACCTTTTCTCTCTGTCTCTCTCTCACTGTCCACTCTGCCTGTCAAAAAAAAAAAAAAAAAAAAAACCTTGAAAAACTTATCTTGATTCAAAAATATCTGAAATCCATGCATAGTTTTTCATAATATGAACTTCTGATGCATGTTTTGGGTATCCTCATATTTCTTGGTCTGACAATGAAGCCCTTAGTTGTAGAGACTCATTTTTATCTCTTCTCTCTTTTCTCATATTTACTTCCTCTGTTTCAGGCAGCAGGAACTGCTCATATTCACTTTTCCCTAATGTGTGTCCTAGGGTCTCTTGAGTTTTACCTTTGATTCTCTTCCTCTTGAATGCCCACCTCTTCAGCACCATCCATCCTGATCTCATAAAATTGTAGACAGTTTAAAGAGCTATATCAAATACAATATTCTGATAGCTGTGATGGGGACACAATGCACTTTAATTTCTCTGTTTGTTTTAGTTATTTTAAATCTTGCCAACTGTAGGGCATGAACTGCTGTTGCGTAATTGGGCATCACTATCATAGGAGTAACTATTACTAAAGTGAGAGAAAAAAGTATAGAGCGGTTCATTTAATAACTGTGAAACTTCTGGTAAAGGTCCATTAATTATGTTTCAAGCCTCTTTGGGTGTGTGATAGAGTATCCGTAATTTAAATAAGACCAGCTGTTATAAATTCGATGCAGCAACTGATGAAGTTTTAATAATGACTGCTTTCATTTTTTTGTCTATAATAAACTTTCTGTCTCCAAAGGTTAAAGCAGTAAAGATGGGTCATATTCTGGTAGTAGATGAGGCAGATAAAGCCCCAACAAATGTCACTTGTATTTTAAAAACTCTGGTAGAAAATGGAGAAATGATTCTAGCAGATGGAAGACGCATTGTTGCAAGTGAGTATAAATAAACAATGCTTCCTTTAATGCATGCAATTTTTACATCGCTCATATCAAATCATACGCTTAGTAGGCTGAAAGTGAAAGCTTGATATAACTTAAATTGTCTTTCTTGCCAATCATTTATAAAAATTGATACATCTAAATCTAGCTATGTCAGTTTACTTTTTGTAGCCAGAGAAATTCTGAAAATGTCAGTAGTAGTCATTGGAGAAATCAGCTCCATATTTTTCAACTCTGAGAATAGCAATATGCAATCCATATACTGTTCTCTCAATTATTTGTGTGTGATTTATTTTCCTTCTTTGTTATCTGGAGGTTTTTTTTTTTTTTTTTTTTTTTTTTTAACTCAGGGATATTTCTATTGCCTGCAGTATTAGCACCTATTTTATTGTTAGGTTGGTATAAATAAAAAAATTTTTTTGGACCTTTTATTTACATATATAGTTTATGTATATTTTATAGATACATATATAATTTGTGTGTGAATACATACATCTATTTATATATTACACACACACTTCTGAGAAATAAGTTATCTTCTGTTTTGAATTGTCCCTACCTACCCTTTTATTGTTATAAGGAAAAAATAAAGATAGATGAATCTTATCAGTGTATTTAACCTACAAGGAAAAATCGAGTTTGTCTAATGCAGTGTGAGAAGATTTTGTAGTTTGCAATTTCAGTTTTTTGTGTCCTGAAAAAGATTTGAAAATCTATTTCTAGGTGTTCCAAATATGTAGCCAACAGTGTGGTAACCAAACAAGTTGAGGCAATAACTAATATCTTTATTATCCAAAGAAAGCATGTAAAGAAGACCCCATTAAAAAGGTACAAATGCATCATCACAAAAGTCTTCTCCTTTGACATCATTACGAGATTGCCATTTCTGAGCCTGAACTCAGTACTAATAAAAGTCATCTAATGTTTCACTTTCCCCAGGACTTTATGAGAAAATGAGAATTCGCATTATCCTGAATACTATCTCTTAAAAAGGTCATGCCAACTCTCAGCAGGCATTGTGAGAGCAGCAAAATGGAAAGGAAGAATTGCTCACAGTTATGGCGTGACTACCCCTTGTTATTTACCACCACTGAAATTAATAAAGACCAAATATTATAACTGTTGGTTGTATTAGGATGTGAATATGTGGCCTGTTGAAGGTTATTTTTTGGTATCATAAAAACATTATGAGTGTAGATTCTTACAGACTCATCTCAAATAAAACTCCAGGTGTTTCACAGCTATCTTGTTTAAAGATGGACAGCCAAAGGCTGCAGTTTAAATAAACCCAGATAGCAAATAGTTCTTCTTAAAATAACCATAATAAAAATAAAGATTTTACTCTGTCAAATTGTTGTCTAACCTAGCTGTTCTATCTGGAATGTATACTACCCAGTCGATTGCAGGATTCAATTTCGTTAATGCCTTAAACATAGGCACAGAGAAAGCTCTAGTCATTTTGAGATCACTTATTTTAATAACTGTGGTAAAAGTTCCTTGATTGGAAATAAGACAATGCTGAATTAACTAGGTTTTTGATACCTTTTTTAGGTACTTAGGTTGCAGGGTGCATGATGTAAACAGGAACTGCTCCTTAGCTAGACAGGGGGCAGGATCTATATATAGGGATACAATTGCTGACTTGATGAATATGAAACAATATTTATGTTATACCTTGGATGTTTTTTATCTCTTATTGGCAATTTTGTTTTTATTTTTTAGAGAAATAATATCAAAGCCAGGTTTAAGTAATGAAAGATAACTTTTGGACAAGTTTGCTTTTTTGATATATGCTGAATTTCCATAAATATGCGAACTCTTATACAATGCAGAATGGGCTTTATCAGTATTCTATTCTTGAGTAACCTTTCTCAAAGAAGTTAGTTTTTCTACAACCAAGTTTATCACAGTTGTCTTAGAGCTCTTATAATTGAGTAGTGTGACTACTTTTGTTATATTAAGGGTTATAACTTAACATTCTGAAGAATGATTAAATGTCAATTAAGAATAAAAAGACTTGTTATTTTTCAGATTCTGCCAATGTAAATGGAAGAGAAAATGTTGTAGTGATTCATCCAGACTTCAGAATGATTGTTCTTGCCAACAGACCTGGATTTCCTTTCTTAGGCAACGATTTCTTCGGTACCTTAGGTAAAAACAGTAACTATAATAATAACAGCTAACAATAATACAAGCCTTGTGAGGTTATCATGACTATCACTGAATGCTTTTCTTGTGCTGTCCTGCCATCATAACCATCCTGTGGGAGTAACTGTTATTCCTGTTTTAGAGAAGGTGAACGATCTGATCGTCAATCAGAAAGATTCACTTTTTCCTATGTTCACTGTGGTGGAGCTCAGCTTCACATCCAAGTCTGTCTGATGCCAGCGCCTTTTTTATTAAGCAAATGCACTCTCCTTTGTTGTTAAGGACTCCCTGGAGTAAAACACAAAGTAAGAAATGATCTTTAGCATTTGTTTTGTCACATCCCCTAACTATGTGGGTGGAAGCCTGTTCTGAGGGGACTGGTTCACATGATTGGAGAGGCCCCCAAGTAAGGTTAATCATCAGAAGTCTTTAAGAAGGCTTCTCATACCTCTAAGGCAGTACGAGAGTTCTTCAGAGAGTTTATGGGAAATGGAATTGAAAGATAAGTTTATTGTGATGAGGAAAAAATTTAGAATCCATGTGTATGAAGAGTCCTCAAAAAGATCTTGGAAAATGTGTATTTTTTTAAAAACCTGCATCAATCATTCCATCCCGGCCATTCTGCTCTCCTACCTCTTCCATCCACATGCGGGTGTGCTTGCCTAGGGCAATTGCGTTGGTGCACCTGCTCCCTGGATTTGCTCCTCCCCAAGATGTCTATATTTGCTCAGCCATTACCTTCTCAGTGATGCTTGCCTGACCTTCCCTACTTACCTCTTCTGCTGTACCATACCAGGCTTATCTTCTGTCTTCAAAAAACATATTTTCTAATATTTACACTTATAATTTGTTATCTCCATATGCCAGTATATAAACTCCATGAACATCAAGAACTTTTTTTTTAATTTAGTAAATATAAATTTCCAAAGTACAGTTAATGGATTACAATGGCTTCCCCCCCCCCATAATTTCCCTCCCACTAGCACCCTTCCCATCTCCTGCTCCCTCTCCCCTTCCATTCACATCAAGATTCATTTTCAATTTTTTTTATATACAGAAGATTGATTTAGTATATATTAAGTAAAGATTTCATCAGTTTGCACCCACACAGAAACACAAAGTGTAAAATACTGTTTCAGTACTAGTTATAGCATTACTTCACATTGGACAACACATTAAGGACAGATCCCACATGAGAAGTAAGTACACAGTGACTCCTGTTGTTGACTTAACAATTTGACACTCTTGTTTATGGCATCAGTAATCTCCCTAGGCTCTAGTCATGAGTTGCCAAGGCTATGGAAGCCTTTTGAGTTCGCCGACTTTGATCTTATTCTGACAGGGTCATAGTCAAAGTGGAAGTTCTCTCCTCCCTTCAGAGAAAGGTACCTCCTTCTTGATGGCCCCATTCTTTCCACTGGGATCTCACTCACAGAGATCTTTTATTTAGGTCGTCGTCTTTTTTTTTTTTCCAGAGTGTCTAGGCTTTCCATGCCTAAGATACTCTCATGGGCTCTTCAGCCATATCCGAATGCCTTAAGGGCTGATTCTGAGGCCAGAGGACATCTGCCATTCTATGAGTCTGCTGTGTATCCCGCTTCCCATGATGGATCGTTCTCTCCCTTTTTGATTCTATCAGTTAGTATTAGCAGACGCTAGTCTTGTTTGTGTGATCCCTTTGACTCTTAGACCTATCATTGTGATCAATTATGAACTGAAATTGATCACTTGGACTAGTGAGATGGCATTGGTACATGCCACCTTGATGGGATTGTATTGGAATCCCCTGGCACGATTCTAACTCCACCATTTGGGGGAAGTCCGATTGAGCATGTCCCAAATTGCACATCTCCTCCCTCTCTTATTCCCACTCTTATATTTAACTGGGGTCACTTTTTTTTTAAATCACCACAATATAAAATACCTTGGGTAGTACCTGACATATTAAAAAATTTCCTAATTATTTGATGACTGCATGAGGGAGGGGTCAATTATATTTTTATTTTAGTATCAGATTACATTTTCAGCAAAAAAGACAAAAGACTATTCCTCATGTTTATATTTGAAAAGCTCTAGTCCCTGAGGTAAATGTTTCAAAATATGGCTTTCATTGTATTCAATTACTCTTAAACACACACACACACACACACACACATTTATTCTGATTCTTTCTAAATCCAAGTAAGATCTTATTGCTACCTGATTAGATGTCCTCTTTTTCTAAAATGAACATACCAAATAATGTGAGTCTGTTTACTTAACTTCCTTTGGTCCCTGACTACTTAGATAATGAAACAATAGAATTATATGCAGCTTTAACATGAGCAATTCATCCTTCTTTTGAGCATAGATTATGTTCTCGCAGTACATTCTCAATTGCCAGAATTACAGATGAACTCTTTTGTGTTTCCTTTTCTTGATTGTAATTTAGACAGTGTCTCTGCACATTTGTTTTTCCAGTACTAGCCTCTAAGCTATATTCCAGCAGTCTGTATAAAATATGAGTATAAATTGTCTGGAGAGTGATGATTCCAATTCCTCCTTTTTTGGTGTACATTTATATGCAATAGATGTATATAATTTCTGAAGCTATTCAATGATTGTTAAAAAGGCAGTCTCAGAGCTATACAAAGAATATATTTGCATTCATGAAAAGGAATAATTCACCAAAACTGTATTTATTTACATATATGCATTTTTGTTTTTAAGAAATACTAATGCATGTCTGAAAAAAAAAAAAAAGTACACTGGACTGTTAACACTGGTGCCTGTTATGGAGGGAATAGATTTTGGCAGAGAGACATTAAGAAGACATCAACTTTTTTATTTTGGTATTTTAGAATTTCCCATCGAGTCTCTATGCGTATTCAAGTATCATATAATGTTTAACAGAAATAAATCCATGCAACTTTCTTTTGCTTCAGTCATGTGTTTTCTCCTCTGGTGGGCTTTCTGCACTTAGCAGCTCTCTAAGCGACCATTCCATTTTCTCCTGTTGTATCAGAGTGGGCAAGTTAAACGCTGATGCACATCTCTTTCGTTCCTTCAGGTGATATTTTTAGCTGTCATGCAATTGATAACCCCAAACCCCACTCGGAGCTTGAGATGCTCAAACAGTATGGACCAAATGTCCCTGAGCCCATCCTTCGGAAGCTCGTGGCTGCCTTTGGAGAGTTGAGGAGTTTGGCTGACCAGGGGATCATCAATTATCCTTACTCGACCAGGGAAGTTGTCAACATCGTGAAACACTTAGAGGTATGGCAGACACCTGGGTGCAGAGACTTGGAAGCAGCCATCAATCTCTCCTTCTCAGACTGCACAGTATATAACAGGTGTTTAAATTTCTATAACTATGATAATGAGTCAGACGACATGATATGAATTATCTGGAGTCTGAGTTGTGAACATGGAAGACCAGTGATCAGTATCCATTTAGCTTTTATATTGGCTTTGCGAGACTTGGTGCCTTGGTTGTAACCAGGAAGCTAGAACATTCAGCAGAGGACTTTTTTAGAAAGTGGCGAGGCAGGAGAGTGAAACCATGCGATGCGCGGGAAGCATCCTGTCCTATTTGGCTTTTTATAACAAGCATGCAGTATCTGGGTTAAAAAAGATTTTTTTTGAAGTAAATGATATGGAGGCAGAAAAGAGGAAAACCTAACAGTATTGACTATTAATATTCTTTAATACTGCAAGGAAGTTTAGTAAGTAGACAGGAGATTGGAATCCTTTGTGATCAAATACACCATGTAGTCCACTGTATTAAAGAAAACAAACAAAAAAAATTCATGTCAAGGGTGAGCATTTGATCAGTGGCTGAGACACCACTTGAGATTCCCACATCCTGTATCAGAGTGCCTCGTTTGAGTCCAGAGCTCCTTTCAGTTCCAGCTTCTTTCTAATGCACACCCTGGGTGGCAGCAGATTTTGACTCAAGTACTTGGGTCTCTGCCTTCCATGTGGAAGACCATGGTTGAGTTCTGGACTCTCAGCTTCAGCCTGGCCCAGTCCTGGGTATTGTGGGCAATTGAGGAGTGAGTCAGTGGATGAAAAAAACTATGTCTCTGTGTCTTAAAAACGAAAATCATGAAAAATAAATAAATTTTAAAATCCATGTGAATTCTACTTAGATATAAACAATGATCTCCAAGACTCCCAAGGTCATGACTCTTCACCTTTGTCTCATCCCTGTGCCTCCAAGAGGACCCTAGAAAGAAACACAGAAAATTAAGAGCAGAGAGATGAGATGCTGGTCAAAGAGTACAAAATTTAGTTAGGAAGAATAAATTCCAATGATCTCTTACACAGCATGTTCACCATAAAGTAACAGTAATGTAATGCATACTTCAAAATTGCTAACAGAGTATACTGTAAAGGTTTGTACTACAAACAAAACCTACATGTGTGAAGCAGCGGAAGTGTTAACTCAGCGTAATCATTCCTGATCTGTGCATATATCAAAACATCATATTATACCCCATAAAAAATACAGTTATTATCTGTCAAGTTAAAATAGATATCTGGAAAGGAAAAAAAGTACAATAGAAAGGTTTATTCTGCCTATAAAACCATGATAAAATCCTGTTCAGCCAGCTGAGATCTCAACACCTAAGAAAATCACAACAGACCGGGAAAAGGACCCAGAGGCCACTGCTGATGTGGACTTAGCTGCACTGATGCTTGTTTTCTCTCCTGCTCTTCCTCATGTGTCTAGTCCCTGTACTTTTTACACTTCTCTTCTCTACTTGTCCCTTGATCTTTCTAATTCATAGAATGTGACTTTTCTAAATATGTTAGTGTAGACACCCAGCACTCTCCTTTATTCAGTTAACATTTTAAGTTGGCCAAACTTGTACTCATTTTTTAAATAAAATTTTAATTTCAGAATAGTTTTAGACTTACAAAACAAAAATTATACAACGAATTCCCATGTATCCTACACCCACCTTCCCACATTGTTGACATCTCACATTAATATATTTGTCACAATAAATAAACCACACCCAACTTCCCTGCCTAGTAACATCTCATGTGAGTATGACATATTTGTGGCAATTAACCACATCTAGCTTCCCCTAATTTTTTTTTTTACCAAAACTTCCTCATCTCTCCCACCCCTCCAAGCCTCTTGTAATTGCAGGAGGTTTCAGAAAGCATCATCCATAACTGAGCATCAGGATCTGAGCACTGCTTTAACATTTAAGAGGAGGAACTGTTCTTCAAATTCTGGTATTAAAAAGGAAAGTATTGTTAAGCAGAAACATGAAAAGAGAAATATGTATATATTTCTCTACAAATAAATATATTTCTAATTTATAAATATAAAACAAATATATTCCTTATATAAATAAGTATATAAAGTAAATATATATTTACAAATAAATATATTTCTCTCTATACATATATATATATATTCCTGTTATCTGGTTATTTGACAAGGCTAGTAAATATCTGCTAAATTTCGCTTGTTCATTACTGTTTTGTTGCTTTTATAAAAATCTATTTAATGTATATTTTATCACTTGTGTAATAAGGGAATTTTTTTTAATACAGAAATTTCCCACTGAAGGCCTCTCCAGTGTGGTTCGGAATGTGTTCGACTTTGATTCCTATAACAACGACATGAGGGAGGTTTTGATTAAAACTTTACACAAATACGGGATTCCCATCGGAGCAAAACCTACCAGCGTGCAGCTGGCAAAGGAGTAAGGCACTCTCACTATTGATCAAATAATGTTGAGCATTACTCTTCTGATTCTTAAATGCTGATAATTCCTAATCTACTGTTTCACTCTACTAAACGGAGTTGGTGTGCACATTACTTTCCACAAATAAGCATTTTAAATATATTTTACTATTTGCTGACTGGCTTTCAGTTAAATGGCATTATTTATAACGTAAATAGGCTTGTAAATTGAGAATTGCAATTATTATAACTGTCCGATGATAGATGTAACACATTGAAATAAAGGGAAATATTTGTTTCTTTAACAGTCTCTGTCATTTTGTTGTATTGAGTCTCATTATTTCCTAATCCAGAGCAAAATAATTGTACAGACATCAAAACTGCCACTATATTTTATTAAGATATTTTTATTCATGTCACCCATATAATTTAATCTATGGTAGCTTTCTAAATTTATTAGCATATTAATTTAAGAAACATTTATTTTCTTATTTCAGCTTCATAGATGAATGAGGTAATAAGAACAAGTAGGTACACTTCACTTGGGCAAGTTGCCTACTGTTTAAAATCATAGGCAATTAAACTAACCTCAGTTAAGAATCTTGCAGACATGCTGTTTATCAGAAAGATAAACAAAGTTAATTAAGAGAAATTAAGTGATAACAAATAAACTCATTGCAAAAATAGTTTTAAATATAGGTAACTTAATACTGCATATAGGCTGGCGCCGCAGCTCACTAAGCTAATCCTCCACCTTGCGGCACCAGCACACCGGGTTCTAGTCCCGGTCAGGGCGCCAGATTCTGTCCCGGTTGCCCCTCTTCCAGGCCAGCTCTCTGCTGTGGCCCGGGAGTGCAGTGGAGGATGGCCCAAGTGCTTGGGCCCTGCACCCCATGGGAGACCAGGAGAAGCACCTGGCTCCTGGCTTTGGATCAGCACAATGCGCCGGCCTCAGCACACTGGCCGCAGCGGCCATTGGGGGGTGAACCAATGGAAAAGGAAGACCTTTTCTTTCTGTCTCTCTCTCTCTCACTGTCCACTCTACCTGTCAAAAGAAAAATACTGCATATAATACCATATTTGTCTATAACAGTAGTCAGATATCATAAATGCACAAGACATAATAATTTTAAGGTAAATAATCATTTCACTTGATCTCACATAGGAGGTACTATCCAGCCTGTAGAAAAATATCTGTAAGGTACATATCAGCAAAATATAACAGCCTGATTTACATAGTCCTTATTATTTATTCTTCGAAGATGTTGTAAAACAGATGCCAACACAAATAAATTATTTAAGTATTCAGAATTTCTTGAAGAGAAACAAATATTTCCCTTTTGTTGTAAAAGCACAAGATGAAGTGATGTGAGAAATCATCAGTGGAAATGTTGCTTATTGAATGAGTAAATGTTTTTCAGGAAGAATGATTGGATGTGACTTGCTAATGCATACACTTTTCCATACAATAATATTTTACTGATTCATTAGCAGTCCTGTGGACATTTTGAAACTAAGTAATATAACAGATTATAGAGCCAGCAATTATGATGTCAGTAATGTGTCTATTAGAGAGCTTAAAAATTATTAATATGTGAACTTCTGTTAGTACTCATTTTTCTTCTTTTTTAAAATGTTATATTTTTATTTTCACTTGGAAATAAAATAGTTCTTTTGACCATTAACAGTTTTATAGTTTGAGTTCTAGCTTCGTGGAAATTCAGCTTATATTCTAAAATAATTTTTCTTGTATGCTTGAGGGAGAAGGAAAGAGAAAAGGGGGAAGTGAGAATAGAAGAGTGGGGAAGAGACAGAGTGGGGAGTGGGGGAAACAGGGGGAGAGGGAGATGGAGATGGAGAGGGGACCCCATCCTCTAGTTCACTCCCCAGATTTCTGCAACAGCCATGGCTGGTATTAACTGAAACTAATGCAATCCAGGTTTCCCAGGCTGGTGGCAGGAACTCAATTAACTGAGCCATCAATGCTGCCTCCCAGGATATGCATTTCTGGAAATCTGGATTCAGGAGCCAGAGCTGGGAATCAAATTCAGGCACTCCAGTGTGAGATGCAAGATCTTAATCACTGGGTTAAACACCTCCAAGCAGATAGTATGCCTGTGTGTGTATGCATGGGTGTGCATGGGGTGTATGTGTGTGTGCTCTCGAATGTATATGTGTGCACGACTGTGTGTGTGTGTGTGTGTGTGTAGGCATGCCAGAGAGAGAGAAATGCATATACATTCACTAATCTCCTTTTGTAGAGATTGGGAGATTTGAGTTAACATCCGAACTCTTTGAGATTTTGGTGCAGTTTTTTTGCCCCATTTTATGTGAAAGGCAGAGAGAGAGACATGCTACCCACTGGTTCACTCTCCAAATGCCTGCAACTGCCGTGGCAAGGCCTGGCTAAGCCAGGAGCCCAGAACTCAATCTGGATCTCCTATATAGTTGGCCAAGTATTTAAGCCATCATCTGCTGCTTCCCAGCAGGTGCATTAGCAAGAAACAAGAATCCAAAGTGGAACCAGGACTCACACCAGGCACTCCAATAGGTGTTGCAGGCATCCCAAGCAGAATCCTAACCTGCTGTGTCACATACCAGCCCTGGAATCTGAGTTTTAAATGTCAATGTTAGAAATATATATAAATTATGCATATATATATAATATAAACTAAACATAAGGTCTTAAAAAGTTCATGGAAAATGCACATTTGCAAACAATATGCATGGACTTTGAAAATTTTATACCAAAGTAAGTTTGCCTTTTAATTTAATTTTTCATGAACTTTTGGAAGTATCTTTATATATATCATTTACAACAGAATTAGATCTACACATCTAGCCAAAGACTCTTAGGTATCTGCTATGGTTTTTATATGCTATTTATATGCTACTTTTTATCTATTTATATGCTATTTTTATACTATTTATACATACATATACACAAATATATATACTATTTATACATACATATACGCAAATATATATGTATATACATTTGTACGTATATGTATGTATAAATAGTATAAAAATAGCATATGTAATTATATTTATATATAATATATATAAATATATTTAAAAGCAAAGTTTGCCTGCCTGCTTTTCCCTCAAGAATAGAGAGAGAGAGAGAGATAGCTTGATCATTTTCTTTACTCCAGAAGACTTGCCCTCTGTTGATTTCTTTCTTTCCTTTTTTTTCATTTAAAGTTTTATATATTTATTTGAAAGTCAGAGTTACACAGAGAGAGAAGGAAAGGCAGAGAGAGAGATCTTCCATCTGCTGGTTCACTCCCCAATTGGCCACAAAGGCCGGAGCTGTGGCAATCCGAAGCCAGGAGCCAGGAGCTTCTTCCAGGTCTCCCATGTGGATGCAGGGGCCCAAGGCCTTGGGCCATTTTCTACTGCTTTTCCACGCCATAGCAGAGAGCTGGACTGAAAGTGGAGAAGCAGGGACTAGAACCGGCACCCATATGGGATGCTGGCCCTGCAGGCAGTGGCTTTTAGCCACTATGCTACAGCGCCAGCCCCGTTGATTGCTTTCTTAATGCTGCTTAGTTTATTCCTAAGCCATCTCTCCTCCCAAAAGCATTTAGTTCCTATTTGTCATTGACAAACTACCATTCAATTGTAATGGTTAAGTAGAATAAAAAATTTGAAGAGGTTAAAAAATTTTTACATGTAGGCTTTATGACCTGTATTTACTAAATAATAACACCTTATCTATTTCTAAAATAACAAAAAGGGAATAAGAACTCCCATGTTTTTTCCATCCAGAAATAACCATCAAGAAATCCTTCTAGGCTGGCGCCACAGCTCAATAGGCTAATCCTCCGCCTGCGGCGCTGGCACCTCAGGTTCTAGTCCTGGTCGGGGCACCGGATTCTGTCCTGGTTGTTCCTCTTCCAGTCCAGCTCTCTGCTGTGGCCTGGGAAGGCAGTGGAGGATGGCCCAGGTGCTTGGGCCCTGTACCCACATGGGAGACCAGGAGGAAGCACCTGGCTCCTGGCTTCAGATCGGCACAGCACACCAGCCGTAGCGGTCATTTGTGGGGGTGAACCAATGGAAAAAGGAAGACCTTTCTCTCTGTCTCTCTCTCTCACTCTGCCTGTCCAAAAAAAAAAAAAAAAAAAAAAAAATCCTTCTAGACCTTTTCCTATGATTATATGCATATGTGTTATTTTATGCATTTAGAAACATTTCTTTCCAGTGATTTTCATTTTTGAGTCTTTCTTCTTAATAGAAGACATATGTCCCTTAAAACAAGTTCTTTTTTAAATACCTCATTCCCAAGTGTCTTTGTCAAAGAAAGCTATCTAAAATGAATGTGCTTTGTTTATATGAGCATACTTCAGAAAGCTTGTGAAAAAATGGAATTAAAATATCAGTTATATGTTGGTGCAAAGAAAAAAACTTTTGAAATCTAAGCATAAGTTTTTCCTTAATGAACATTTTGAAGAACCCAGATACAACAGTTCTCTCCCATTCCCACTTGTATCTGTATTCCCTTCACTCCTTGAAATTTTGAGCTAAAGATATTTATTCCAAACAGAATGAACAGATTTAAAAAGCATTTGAGATGCTTTCATAAATAACAAAAACATTAATATCAACAACACTTTGTGTCTTTCTGCATATGTTTAAATGCCATTATGCTTTTCAGATGTATAAAAATGCTCTCGCCAGACTACACATCTAAAAATGACTGTTATGTGGGACTGCACTTTCAAAGTGCCCCATCGCTGCTGAAAAAGCCCCATTGAAACCATTGAATTAGTCCTCACGTGTCCTGTTTTATGCATCCTCTCCCTAATTTGAAATGTTTTATTTAAAGGAATTTTTAATGTTTTAGGAAAACTAAGTTAACTTTGAGCTAACAAGGTCTAGGACCACACTGGCCAATGTTTTTATTAAATGTCTCTAATAAGGTCACATTTTAAACAATTTAAGAAACAGTGGTAACTGTGGACAATGGTTGTCTTTGAGAGAGGCCCAAGAAAGAAGAAAGTCTATCTCACTTGC